TTCTTGGTTTTAAAGAGATATACTAAAGTTAAAAAAATCAGCAATATTTTGAAGTCAACTCCCCAGTTAAAAAGCTTCTTTCCAATAAGGAATGCAAAACTGGCACAGTACTGAAAATATAATTGATTTCCAAGAAGTAGAGGAAGAACAGATCATTTTTTGTGGATGCAAGAGATGCAAAGGAGAAGCAATCCCCTGTGTGTATCCCCACAATATGGCCAACAGCCCAATTAGTCACAGAGAAAAGGCAAACAGCAAGAACAGGAAGAAATGCTGTTGGCCAAAATGTTACTACAGTGATGAACAAAACATTGTCAAAACACTAGAAACCTTAAGGAAAACTACATAGAAGATTTATTTATGGCCACACCTAAATGACTTTTTAAAAAATATGTTTTTTATTGATTTTTAGAGAGAAGAAGGGAGAGGGATAGAGAGATAGAAATATGGATTGGCTGCCTCCTGCATGCCCCCTACTGGGGATCGAGCCCACAACCAGGTCATGTGCCCTGACCCCAAATCAAACCAGTGACCTCTTGGTTCCTGGGTCAACACTCAACCACTGAGTCACACCGGCAGGGCTCAAATAACTTTTTTTTAAAGAACCACTATTGATGGTGTAGTGTGGAAGAGAAATGTATTTAGAAAGGATTATTATTTCTTTGGATTATGAGTAATTTGGGCTATAATGGCTTCTCATTCAGGTTCTGCAATTATCTATGTACTAGTCCTTGAGAAATTTCTCTGTAGTTCCCAATGTCCCCATTTCTTAAGTGAAGGGGTAGGACTAGAATCTAGAGTTTTAAAATTTTATAATTAAAGAAATATGATTAAGCACGTAAACCCCCACCTCATTAGAAGACCTCTAGGGCCATGCCCACTTTATAATTCAATGACTCTAGAAATAAAGGATTAGTCTTTCTGTTGGATACGCAGTTCAATTTGGGGAGATTGCTGCCATGTAAACAAAAAAGATTGTTCATTTGGTTAAAAAGGAAACATGAAAATTTGTTCTGTTACCCTATCCCCAGTCTGGCATTTTTATTAGACTTTTAGTTTTAAACACTGATTTTATTTAATGGTCTGCAACCATCACAAACAAAAACACATGCTTTTAGTGGTCCATCATATCAGTGTATCTGCATCACTAAATTAGAGCATTATCTGACTCATTGGGATAACATATTATCCTCTAGATAGCAAACTGAAAAAAGCAATTTTCCCATCTCTGAGAAAGATAATTGATTTGATTTTGCTGTCATTCACTCTATCACCCAGGCTTGAGATCTTGAAATTATTTTTTACTCTCTCCCTCCCCACCTTCCATCACCCACACAGAGTCACCAAGTCTAATGAGTTTCCTTTAATAATGTCTCTTGCATCAATTTCCTCTACTACCACCCTGGTAAAAGTCCCTATTATCTCTCAGACCTGGATGACTACAATATTCTCTGTTACCTTAGTAACTTATACAGGGTTTCTTTTTTATCATAAAAGTAATACATGTTCATTATAGGCAATTTGAAAATTTCAGAAAGGTAGAGAGAGAGAATGATATCAATTATCCACAATCCCTCTGCCAGAGATGATCATTTTGACCCATTTCCAACCACTCACTGTTCTATGTATATATTCATTCACTTTTTAAAAATTAGGATTACAATACACTACACATTTATGATATGTTTCTTACTTTCATATCATGAATATTTTACTACGAAAGTAAATGCTTTGAAAACCTAACTTAAAAACTAATTTCAATTGTTGATGTTTCATTGGTTTCTAATTTTTCACGTTAGAAACAAATGCTGCATTGACAACCCTTGGCCATTGTTGGATTATTTCCTTAAAATAGATTCTTAAAAGTATAATTATAAGATCAAAGATTCTTGTTACAATTTACCAAGTTGCTCTCCAGCAGGAATATATATATAATTTTACAGGCTCCCCAGTAGTGTGTTAAAAGTTCCAGTTCCCCACCCACTTGTTAACACTGGCTATTATCACTTTTTAGAAATTTATTAGGCTAGGAATTTATATCTCATCTATGCTTTGGTTGGCATGTCTTATGTGTGTGTATAAGTGAGTCCAAACATGTTTTCACAGATATTGGGCATTTGTGTCGTGGCACTCTGACTGGTCTTCATTCTGCTAACAGGGGTAGCAAACTCAATTGCCTCTTAGGGGTCTGGCATGTTAGGTCATTGTGAGAAACCACAGTGAGAATTAGGAATGGTAGGGCCTAAGATGAATTGGAGAGTGTGTGCTCTGCTTAACATTCCAAATTGAAAAAATTTAAATACATCACGCTGGCCAAACAAAACATCTATAGGGCAAATTCAGGACTAGGTTCCCAGTTTGCTACCATGCCAGTGCCTCCCCTTTTTAATCCACTCCCTCCTGACTATTATCAGAATGACATTCCTAATACCTTCCCAAATAAGGCCAGCCATAATGTGACTCCAAATCTTTTTCTCAGAACTCCCCTATTGCAACCTGCTACTTTGAAGAGGGTGATGTTCTTGGGGACAAGCGTTCTATCTTACAAGAGGCAATAAAGCATAGTTGAAAGAGAGAACTCTGGAATCAGACAGTCCTGGGTCAAACCCCACCTAACCTTTACTTACTGGCTGTGCGACCTCAGTAAAGTTACTTAACCTTGTTGAGGCTCCATTTCCTCATCTGTAAAATGGTACTAACAGCACCTGCACCACAGGGTGGTAATGAGCATTCAATAAGGGAATATAAGCAAAGCACTTAGTACACTGCCTGGCACACAGTAGACTGGAACAGTAATTTTCTTTATTAATTTTTAAAAAATGTTTTTATTGATTTCAGAGAGAGGAAGAGAGAGATAGAAACATCAATGATGAGAGAGTCATTGATCGGCTGCCTCCTGCACGCCCCCTACTGAGGATTGAGCAGGAAACCCTGGCATGTGCCCTGATGGGGAATCAAACTGTGACCTCCTGGTTCATACGTTGATGTCCAACCAGTGAGGCATGCTGGCTGGGCAACAGTGATTATCAAAGTCTAGTCCACAGACTAACTTGCCAGGATAGGAATCACCTGTGGGCTCCTGTCAACTATGCAAACTCCTGGGCCCCATCCCAGACCTGCTGAATCAAAATTTCTACAGCTAGGGCCCAGGATTCTATGTTCTTATTCTTACAAGCATTCTAGTTGATTGTGAATCAGCTAAAGAAGCAGCGTTGTCCAGTTTGGCTCAGTGGTTAGAACATCGGCCCAAGGACTTTGGGGTCCTGGGTTTGATCCCAAACAAGGGCATATACCTCAGTTGCAGGCTCCATCCCTGGCCCCAGTTGGGGCATGCGGGAAGCAACCAATCGATGTCTCTCTCTAACATCGATGTTTCTCTCCCTCTCTCTCCCATCTCTGAAAAGCAATGGAAAAAATATCCCCGGGTGAGGATAAAAAAAAATTTAAAGTTGAAGAACCACTGGTTGCCATATTCACTACAATTACAGTGTACAATTTTCTCCTCAGGTAGCTGACTTCTGGACCTACCTGGACCCACCTGCCGAGTGGTGCCCTATCCCCCAGGGTCTGGCAGAGATACCCACTGCCTGTGACCATGATTTGGTGAAAAAGTGATCCAAATGAATCATCCTTGGCTGGCATGTCAGCCTCCCTGCCTTCCTTTCATAGCCATGTATCATCGCTGCCATTGTTAATCACTCATTATTACAAAAATTGTCTGGGGGCTAAAGATAAATGGAAAGTATTATCAATAGTAATACTAATCACCAGTACTTACTAAACATCTATAATGTGCCAGGCACACTAAGCAGTTTTTATGCATTATATGAATTTAATCCACGTAACAATGCTATGAGGCAGGTGTTATCATTACCTCCCATTTATAAATGGGAAAACTGAGGCACAGAGAGGTTAAGAAAGTTACCTAAGGTCAAACAGATGGTAAATGACACAGCAGAGACTTGAATCCAGACAATCTGACTCCAAAGCTCAGGCTCTGCTGAGCTGCTTCCCTAAATTAACTGCTCTATCCCAGATATTACTAATTTAAGACACATACTATAATATTGATATTTATTTCATTTAATGTCTTCATTATTTTATTTGAGTGAATGTATTTATCAGAGAAACTTCAAACCCCTTTGTTCCTATAAGGGCTCAGGTTTTCTAGCCACAAATGCTAACATGAGAGTTTGCAGCAAACTAACTATACAGTTGGAGTGGGTTTGCTTTACCTCCATGCATTCAGAGGCCAGCTTTCCACGCAATAGCATGAACAAAGTCTATTTCAATTGTTTACCTTATCTTTATATTTCCCCCAATCAAGCTGTAAAAAATATCCAAGAGTCAGAAGCCTTTCCTATCGGGCTAGTTTCATAACAGAGGCTCTTCCCCCCACACGTTTGGATCAAATATGTTTCCTACTTCAGAGAGAAAATGAAGCCAAGGATATGAGATAGACAAAGTGTTCTGAGGACTTCTTAAATGCTATGCTCGGGCTGAGATATAACCTTTTCAATCAGCTCTTCATTAATTTTTTTAGATAAAATGTACTTCCAAATAACCAATTTTGAAATGTAACTCTGACAGATGCTACAACATAGATGAACCTTGAAAACATTATGCCAGGTGGAAGAAGTCAGGCACAAAAGGGCACATATTGAAGGAGTCTGCTTATATGAGGTACCTAGAATAGGCAAAGTCAGAAAGACAGGAAGTAGAACAGAGGCTACCAGGGGCTAGGGGGAATGGGGAGTTACTGTTTAATGGGCACAGTTTCTGTTTGGAATGATGAAAAAGTTCTGAAAATAGTGATGATGGCTGCACAACATTATAAATGTACTCGATGCCATTGAACTATACTCCTAAAAATGGTTTAAAATGGTAAATTTTATGTTATATATTTTTTACCAAACTTAAAACAAATTCCATAGCCTCCAAAAAAAAAGCCCCGAAACAAAAAAACAACCAATTTTGAATCTCGTGGATTCAGAGCTTACCAAGGTATCATCATTTTGGTCTCCAAACATTTCTTTAAAAATCTTTCCAGGATCAGGAATTGGAGGGAATATAATGATCTTGAGCCTTTAAGAAAACAGAGACATTTTTGATCAAATCTTTCACCCCATAGGAATGTCACACTTAAATACAGCCATATTAAAAGGAGGCTTGGACTAAAGACATGGTACCCAAGTCATCTTTAGTGACAGAGCAGTTGTGGAGAAATTTCTAAAATAAGCTGAGAAATCAATGGCCAAAGAGGATTAAGTATGGGTGGAGTAAAGGGACCTTCCGGATAAGCAGACAACTTATGTCCTTATCATTTAAAATTTTTTCCAGCTTTATTGAGATATACTTGACAAATAAAAATTGTATATATTTGAAGTGAATGTACAATGCAATGTTTTGATATAAGCATGCATTGTGAAATGACCACCACAATCAATTTAATTAACACATTCACCACCTCACGTAGTTATGATTGTGTGTGTGATACTCTATTATTTAATAATAATAATGTTTTAGTTATCATAGATCAGATGGGAGCTTGCTATTTATAATTTTGAAAAAATTAATATTCTGAGAACAGGATATATTCTGGTTTTATTTTTCTTTCATTTTCTTACTTCTGTCCTCTATTTTTACATGGAGATAGTGGACTACCTCATCTCCTAGGTCTCTACACATTGGTGTTCCCCAGGGTTCAGCCTTTTGTCCTCTTTATCTCACTCAATCTATGAGCACTTTCTTCCAGTCTTAGGGCTTTGAATCCATTTACATGCCAAGGACTCCCAACATTCTATCTCCAGCCCAGACCTCTCCTAAACTACAGATTCATGTATACAACTACCCATTTAACATCTCAACTTGGATATCTAATAGGCATCTCAAACTTATATTCAAAACTGAAGTTCTCACCTTTACATTAAATCCAGCTCTCCTCACAAATCTCTCCACCATAGTATATGGCTCCAGCATTCACTCAGTCTGCTGAAGTCAAAAATCTAAGAGTTGTGCTTGAATCAATTTCCTGCACACCTCCACAGAGAAGTAGCCATCAGCTAGCGCTATCAATTCTATCTTCAAAATGTATCTCACATCAGACCACTTCTTACTATTTCCATTGCCGACACCTAACCTAGGCTCCCTCATCATTCCCCTCAAACCCAGCAATGCCTCCTAAACTAACCCACCTGCTTCCATTCTTGCCCATTCTTCACTCAGCTACTATAGTGATCTTTTGTGACAGTAAATCAGATCATGTCCCTCCCCTGCTTAAAACGCTCCAGTGTTTTCCCCTTATGATTAAGAGAAAATCTCAATTCCTTGCTATAGCCTATGTGATCTAGCCCTGCCAACATATCCAGCCTCATGTTCTGTCGCTCTCTCCCTTGCATACTCTACTCCAACAAGACACACGAAGCTCACCCCAGCCTCCGAGCCTTTGCACTAGAAGGTAGATAGGGACTTTGTCCTGTTCACTGCTGTAAAGCCAGCAATGAGGACAGTGACTGGCACATAAACAGGCACTCAATAAATATATGTTGAATGATTATTGACATGATAATAAAATATTGGTTTAGAGCCAGTTTAATAACCTATTTCAACCATAGGTATTTGCTAAAAGAGCAAATGACAGTACCAGACTAGTCCCTATGGTGAGACAAAGGAAAGCATTCTCAAGGAATGAAGGCCATATATTACATTCATTCCACTTGGTGAAGCTCTTTCCTACAGCATTAAGTAGCAACATGCTTTGCATTCATAAAAGACAAGTAAGTTAATGAGCAATAGTCTCCATTTCTAAAACTTCATTCCAACAGCTACCAACTGTCGATAAATTAAACATTTGAAAGAGTAGAGTGAACGTAAGTCCTAGCAACAATTCTGAACACATGCAAAGAGAGCAGTGCCTGAGCAGAGCCCTGGGAAACTAATCTAATACTTCCTGCACCAGACAATGGGCATAATAATACTTCTTTGCCACACCATACTACCAAAAGCCAGGTATAACACAAATGCTTTTAATACACTGGGCAAATATCAAACGCCCACAGAGAGCAATAACCATAGCAACCAGGCTAGCAGAAACTGTCAAGCCTGTCTGGGCAGCTGCCTTACCTTTTTAGATAAAGCAGAAGGACTATGATGGCACCTGCAACAATGATGGGAATGATGAGTAACATGGTGATGTAGAGTATGGGATTGGTCTTCTTACCTGGAAAATGAAAAGCAAACAAATATATGAGAAATAAAATCCCTTTAGAAATACCAAGCAACAACTCTATTAAAGTAGTGAGGTCACAGATATTTCTACCCTCTGCTCTAACCTATTTTCCAAAACCCTACAATTAATTTATCTTCTGTTATCTTAATAGTGGCAGGGGGAGTCCTGCTTTGGCACCTAAAATTCCATGAGTGAATAAACCCATTAAAAATTATCTGAAACCAAGATATCTCAACAGGTTTCAGACACTATTAACAAAGATGTTATATCTGTTAAATATGTCATTTCATTAACAGTGACTATATTTTCTTATTGGTTAGTTAATACTATTACAATACCTAAAATAATCCTAACAACTACCACTACTACTATTCTTAACTAAGCACCTACTATATGTGTGATACCATACCAGGTGCTTCCACATGCTTATATCTATGCTACATAAATAATATTGTCTCCCATTTATACAGATGAGAACAATAAAGCTCAGAGCAGTTTACTGACTTGTTCCTAAGGGTTTAGTAAGTGATGGAGTCAAGCCTCAAATCCAGCACTGTCCAATTCCAAAGTCTTTCATTAACTGCCTTGTTACCCCTAACATATGAAACATCGTATATCTATTTATTCGCTTACCTTTTCCACTAGGGCATGAACATTTAGAAAGCATCATCAGGGCCTAGCATCATTGTTTTGGGCAGCCTCTAAGATGACCCCAAATGATCCCTGCCTCCTGATATTCACATCCTTATGTAATCCCCTCCCCTTGAGGGTGGGCTGGACTAATTGAGTCATTTATAAAGAACTGAATAGCAACAGTGATGGAATGTCAAAATCAGGTTATAAAAGACTGAGGTTTCCATACTGGGTGTTCTCTCTTACACTCTTTCTTGCTTGGATCACTCACTTGGGGAAGTCAGCTGCTGCCATGTCATGAGATAGCCCTGTAAGGAGATCCATGTGGCAAGGAACTGAGGGAGGCCTCATATTAATTTCCTAGAATTGCTGTAACAAATCACCACCCACTGGTTGGCTTAAAACAATAGAAATATATTCTCTCACAGTTCTGGAGGCTAAAAGTCCAAAATGAAGGTATCAAGAGGGACATGCTCCCTCTGAAGGCTATAGAGAAGAATCCCTCCTTGCCTGTTCCTAGCTTCTGGTGGCTCCCAGAATCCTTGGAGTTCCTTGGCTTGCAGCTGCATCACTCCAATCTCTGCCTCCATCTTCACATGGTCTTTGCTGTGTGTCTCTGTGTATCCTTTCTTCTACTTATAAGAATTCTAGTCACTGGATTTAGGGCTTTAATCTAAGCCAGTATGACCTCATTTCATTTTGATTACGTCTGCAAAAACTCTATTTCTAAATAAAGTCACATTCACAGGTAGCAAGAGTTGGAATTTAGATGCATCTTTTCGGAGGATACAATTCAACCTGCTATAGCCTCCTTCCAGTAGCCAGAGAGGAACTGAGGCTCTCCAATGACCACATTAGTAGTGAGCTTGGAAGTGGACTCTCCAGCCTTAGTCAAACCTTCACATGAGGCTCTAGTCCACGCTGATAGCTTGACTGTAACCTCATGACAGAACTTGAGCCAGAGGTACCTAGCTAACCTGTGCCCAAATTCCTGACACACAGAAAGAAACCATGAGTTGGTAAATATGTGTTTTTTAAGCCATTATATTTTGGAGTAATTTTCTATGCAACAGTAGATAGCTAATACAACCACAGCTTGTTCTGTGTCTCAATTAATAGGTAATTGACTACCTCAACAACCTGTCTCTCTGTTAGAAAGTCCTTAAGTTGGTCCTCTTTTGCCCCATGGAGCCACAAAAAAGCAAGCCTATTCCCTTTTACTTGACAATACCTCAAATATTAGAATTCATCAATCATGGCTCCCCAAGTTTACTTCATCAAGTGTTTCTCCCTGAATTTTGAGATTCTTCAACATTTTGATTACTCACTTTCAAGGATGGATTCCAGTCTTCTGATGCACCTCTTACAATGTGGTACCCAGAGTGAATACAGCACACTTCTGATGTGGACACTGTGCCACACCCTGCAGCATTCCCTTGTTTTAGGTGCTGCACTATCACTGCTGCCTATGACTGCATATGCCTTTAGGGATACTTAAGGATGCATTGTTGTCAAATAAAACCCTATATACCCCACCACCCTACAACACACACGTTCATAAAGTGTAGGTCTTTTCAATCCTATACTTGAGCCTGGCAAATAGCTTGTTCAACCTCTCAATTAATAAATGAAACTGATTTTTTTCAAACCTAGATACGGTTTATCTCTATTAAATGCCATCAAAGCTCACTGTTCTCCTCTTGATTCTATCACCAGCACATAGGCTAGTCTAGCATTATACAATCTGCAGATTTAATCATGCTGACCTTCTATATTTTTGTTCAGATTGTTAACAAAGATGGAGACAAGACAGAAGAGAAGATAATACCATTTGGATTGTGGATTTTCAAAGTGTTATATATTGCAAATTGGGTGATTTGAGAGTAATTAAACAGAAAATACATTTCAACTGTAATACTCTCTGGCCGATATTAAGAATGCAGAACATCCCTTCCTCCATCCTATTTTCTGCTTCAGCTTAATGTCCATGCATCAATGGTTTAAATTCTAATGAAATCCTGTTCCCTTACCTATACTCATCGCTGGACTCCAATTACTCCAGAGTTTGTTATCTTCGTAGCATAACTTATTTGTTTTGACTCTCATTCTGACTGTGTTCAAAGTATCAGGAAGAACACCAGGAACCCGGAAACAAATTGTACCCTTAAAATTAAAACAAAACAAAACACACACACAAGGAATATTAACAGTTTATTCTCTTTCTCTGCTTCTGAATCCTAAATATAATTATTGACCAAATTCTGTATATGATTAAGACTTGAATTGTACTCCAAATTATCTGACTTTAACTCCTGGATAAAAATTGGCAATAACACATAGAACAAAGCAGTTCATTTTTCTCAAAGCAGTTCAAATGCAGGCTATGCTCACCCAGTCCCACCCCCAACTACTCTTATGAGTTTAAGCTCAAATAGCTAAAGTTGAATTTACTGACCTCTACGTTCCTCTCAAATTCTGAATTATCACATATGGGTTCTTCAACCTTGAAAACATAAAAAATGAATAAATTGAAAATATTAAAAAGACCACATTTTACATCATTTAACCATTTCTAACAAGGTTTCCTTTATCCTATTGAAAGAGATCCCGCCCTGGCCGGTGTAGCTCAGTTGGTTGGGTGTCACCCTGTGCACTGAAGGGCTGCAGGTTCGATTCCTGTCAGGGCACAAGCCCAGGTTATGGGCTCAATCCCAGGCAGGGGGCATTCAGGAGGCAGCAATAGATATTTCTCTCTCATCAATGTTTCTCTTTCTCTAAAAATCAATTAAAATATATTTAAAAATAAAAATAAATAAAAGGGGGAATGAGGTAAAATTATTTTTTTAAATCACATTGTTTAATCTAAATATATACAATTTTTACTTGTTAATCATACATCAGTAAAGCTAGAAAAAATAGTCTTTTTAAAAATAATTTTTCTATTTTTCAATTACAGTAGATATACAATGTTATATTAGTTTCAGGTGTATAACATCATGATTAGACAATTATATAAAAAATATTCAACTTCTATGCTCTAGCCAGTGTGGCTCAGTTGGTCGGAGCATCACCCTATGCACCAGAAGTTTGCAGGTTTGACTCCTGGTCAGGGCACATACCCAGGTTGCGGGTTTGATTCAACATTGGAGCACATATGGGAGACAACTGATTGATGTTTCTCTCTCTCTCTCTCCCCCTCTCCCTACCTCTCTCTCTAAAATCAATAAAAACTTATCCTCAAGTGAGGATTAAAAAAAAATATATATATATATTCAACTTCTATCAAAAAGATGTTTAAACATGGGACAAAGACCAGAATACATAGCTATAATTTTTGGCATTCAGTGTCATTCACTAAATGGTTCCTACCAGTATTAGTGAAGAGCTAAAAGACCAAGAGAATGATGAAGGGCCATCCTATCAATATTTCATATAGGTGCAGAGAAAAAGCCACTCAGGGACTACTGTACCCTATTGCTGGCCATATGGAATCAGAGACCTGCTGGGGAACCATAAGTGTCAACTACTACTTGAGGGATCAGGTTGCAAGCTGATGTCCTCCCTGCCTTGGATAATCTCCCAGATGATATAGATAGATGATATAGATATAGATATAGATATAGATATAGATATAGACAGATATAGATATAGATATTCCAAAGTCAACAAATCATTGTGTAAATTAAAGGCTCTGGGCTCTTGTTCAAATGTAAATCCTGTGTTATTTATCAGTTGCTCAGATACCTCTATGAGAAAACAAAGGCACAGAGAACCAAACAGATAGTTTGCTGGGATAGGGGTAGTCAAAGCCAAGTCATTCCTTACTTTGTGATTCTGTCATGAGCTACCTCTGACCAAAGCCCTCATGTGATGGCACCAGTTCATGTTCCAGCCTACTTCCCTCTCTTAACTGGAACACCAGGCAAAATAATTCCTCAAAAAGTCTTGAAAAAAAAAAAAAAAAAGTCTAACCAGCAAAGCTCAAGATCAAGGAGCACACAAAAAGCTGATGACATTGTAGGGAAGGAAGCAGCTGGTGACCATCTGTTAGGAGAGAGTACATTAAATTCAAGTGTATAAACAGAGTTAATTCCACATAGACTATAGTTCTGATTTAGGTGAATAAATTCCATAGCATGTGTGTTCTCTTCCACTTAGAAGTCTGCAAAAAATGTAATTTAATTCAACAAAAATTTATTAAGTGATGACTACACAAATGGTATTATATCAAGTATTCTTCATCAACGTTTAATACATGGAGACCAACTTTTGAAGTCATACTTATTAGCTATGTGGCCTGTAGTATGTTACTTAACTTCTCTGGGCCTTAGTTTCCCAATAAAATGTAACCTATTTCATGGATTGTTATAAGCCACTGACTGCATAAGAAGTACACAGAGGGATATATTTGTAGTATATCATAAACACTTAATAAATAATGGCTGTTACTTAAAAACAAAATCTTTGAACTTAGACTTTTGCTGAAATCTTGACTCTACTACTTTCTAGAAATGTGATCTTAGGATTAACCTCTGAGACTGAGTTTTCTCATCTGTAAAATGGGAAGGGGAGAAAGGATCTAGATCTTTGGGGTTACTATGAGGACTTAATGAGAATTCAGATGAAATGCTTATTAAAATACCTAATACATACTTATTGCTCAATACATGTTAGCTGCTATTAATAGCAGGAATAGCACAAAGTAAGCACCACCTAAGTCCTCCCTGGAGCTTATATTTTTAGTGGAGACAACAGGCCTACACATGTGATCAGGGTAACCAGCAGGGCATAAGTCAGTGCCAAATGAGTAATACAAGCAGCATGTGTATTTGGGATTTAACAGAAGAGAGCAGTAAAGGCTGGAGCAGTCAAGTAGATTTCACCTTTCTGATAGCTCACTTAGTTGGAAAAGCAAGCTGCACTCCCTCCCCACTTGGAAGCCCTTTGCTTTTTCCCTTTGCAGTATTGTATGGGGACAATGGTTTCTGTTCTAGGTAATAGTTACTCTATTTGAGAAATAGATTCATCTGCAAATGCCCAGAAGAGCTCTGCTCAGCTGTGGACCTGGTCACTCCCTCTGGAGTTACTAGCCTGTCAACACTGGCTTATTTTAGTAAGTAGAGATGCTCCACAACTTACGATGGGGTTACATCCCAATAAACACCTCGTAAGTTGAAAATATACTAAGTTGAAAATGCATAGAATACACCTAACCTACCAAACACCATAACTTAGCCTTGCCTACCTTAAATGTGCTTAGAACACTTGTACTACCTACAGTGGGGCAAAATCATCTAACACAAAGCCTATTTTATTATAAAGTGTTGAATATCTCATATAATTTATTGACTACTGTACCAAAAGTGAAAAACAATGGATGTATGAGTACTCACCATTAACGTACACAGTTAAAAGCACAGTGGACCTAAAGAATGTTTGAAGCATTGAACTAAATTAATTACATATGAGAGAGTATCGTACTGTATATCACTAGTCCAGGAATCTCAGAGGGAAGGCAGGGGTGGAGAAGTGGATGTGGAAAGATTAGTCAAAGAACTTACATGCATAAATGCATAACCTATGGACACAGCCAAAAGTATGGGGAAGGCCTGGGGGTGGGGCAGACTCAGAGTGGAGGGGGTCAGTGGGGGGGAAGAAGGGGGA